TGGATGTACAAATGTGCTTTACACAATTGATGTATGCATGGATTGTGATAAGAGTTGTATGAGCCCCCAATAAAATGATTTTTAAAAAATTGACATTTTCCCTTTTTTGAAATGAGAAAACCACTTGTACACTTGTTTCCCATAGCGCTGTCCTTGTAAGCTGTTTTCAATATCACAACAGTTTCTGTGGTCTCCCCCACCCTCTAGCAGGAAAAAGAATTCACAGATGCACACCTGCTCTTCATAAATGCTTAGATAAAGCTGTCTCCTACAGACACCTGGCTCCTCACCTACACAGTTTAAGTATGTTTATCTCTAAGAGCATTTGCTCCCTTTGTCCCTTATCTTAAGGAGCATTTGCACCTCTTATCTCGTGTATGCTTTGAGCATTCCCTTCAAAGGTTTGGAATATCAAGATTAGTGCATTGCCCATTTGTTTGATGTATATGATTGACAAGAGGCTTGCATGCCTCAAGACCTACAAAAACCCTTTGGTGAGTAAACTGGAGATTTTTCTCCCCCTTCTCACTTTCCTTGAGGATAAAGTTGAGTCCCCTGTGCCCCCTTATCTATCTTTTTAAAAAATAATCATTTTATTGGGGGTGGGTCTTAGACCTCTTGTTACAATCCATACATCAATCGTATCTGACATATTTGTACATATATTCCATCATTCGTTTCTAGACATTTACTTTCCATTGAGCCCTTGAAATCAGCTCCTCTTTTTCTCCCTCCCTTCTACACGCACCAAATCCTAGTGGCCCCTTGATAGATTGTTAATTATTTTCAAATCTCACACCAACTGCTGTCTCCTTATCCTCTGGTTTCTGTTGATTTTCCCCCTGGATGAGGGTGTGAATATATATATTCATAATGAATATATCATTCATTATGATCGGTGCCCGCCTCCCTCCCCACCTCTCCCCCCTTCCCCCTACCCTTTTGGGATCTCTGTTCCCCTTCCTGTTCCTGGGTCCCTGTGTTGTGAGTTTTATCTCTTGCCAATACCTATGTACATGCTCCCGTCTAGTCTGGATTGGGATGCAGCACTGGGGTCATGATAACAGGGGTGGGGTGGGGGATGGGGGGTGAGGAGGCCTCAAGGGATCAGAGGTCTATTGCGTGATCCATCGGTGCTCTACTGCACCCTGATTGACTCAACCCCTCCCTGTGACCCCTCTGTGGGGGGATGTTCCATTGTCCACAGATGAGCTTTGGGTCTCTGCTCCAACCCCCCTCCATTCTCACCAATGCATTTTTGTTTGCTTGTTTACTGTTTGTTGTGAATCTTCTGATGCCTGTTGCCCAGTCTCAATGACACCTCATGTTAGCACCAGCTGGTGTGCTTCTTCCATGTGGGCTTGTTGCTTCACTGTTGGATGGCTGCTTGTTTAACTTCAAGCCATTAAGACCCAGACACTGTATCTTTTAATAGCCGGGCCCCATCCTCTGTCTTCACCACATCTGCTTATGCACCATTTTGTCTTCAGCGATAGTGTGTGTGTGTGTGTGTGTGTGTGTGTGTGTGTGTGTGTGGTGGGGTGAGCATCACAGAATGCCGATTTGTTAGAATGAAGTGTTCTTGTATTGAGGGAAGGTATGAGCTGAGGCCCAAGGCCCGTCTGCTCACCACACCCTTCTCCCCACCTTCTTCTTCCCCCTCTACCTTCTGGGGCCATTGGTCCCATTGCCTTCTCCCAGGGCTTCCCTCCCATGGTCCAACCCATATAATTAGGCAAACCATCCATGTCGTAGTCCGAACAATAAGAAAACAAATATGGTTGAAGAAAAGGAAAAAGAAAAAGACGAGAGAGAAAAAAACCCAAAACCCAACAGATCTTCTTTAATAGTGCAGATGCTCCACAAGACTGTTAAGACTATTGGCCCAGGAACCCATAATATTTGCATCTTCTCCTTCTTTTCCTTTGTTAACTTTGCGAGCAATTAATCAATTTTGTTAATCTTGTTGATTTTTCCATCGATTTTTTTGTTTTCCAGCTAATTTATTTCTGCTTTAATCTTTTTTATTTATTTTATTGCCTTTGTTCTAGTTGTTGGAGGTGCTGTGTTAGGATTGATTTTGGATTTGTATTCTTTTTTCATATCTGTGCTGATGCCTATAAATTGTCCTATGACAAAATTTTTTCTGTATCTGCAAGGTTTTGATAAGTTGTGTTATTGTTTTCATTTGTTTCAAGAAATTTCTTAATTTAATCCCTTATTTGGCTGATTATCCAGTCATTTGTAAATAGTATGTTTTTCAGCATCCATGTGTTTGTCTTTATGTTCTTGATATTACTATTGTTGATTTCCAGTTCTATTAGTGTTTTGATCTGAAAAAATAGATTGTCGGATCTCAATGTTTTTGAATTTGTTGAAATTTGCTTTGTGGTCTAACATGCAGTTTATTCTGGAATATGTACTGTGTGTGTAAAATAAGAATGCTTACTGTACTTTTATTGGATGGAGTGCTCTGTATATGTCTGGAGGGCAAGCTGGTTGGTTGTGTTGTTTAGCTCTTCTGCTTTGTTTTTAAGTTTTTTCCTGATGATCTATCTTTCTTAAAGAGTGGTGTGTTGATGGATGGATGTATGGATTGTGATAAGAATTGTATGATCCCCCAATAAAATGATTTATCAATAAAACCCAAAAGTGGTGTGTTGAAGTCTCCTGATCTCTGTTTTCAACTCTGTGAGAATTTTATTGATGTATGTGGTAGTTACATAATCTGGTGTCAATTTGGAACTTGAGAGGATTAAGAGTGAAGGGGTGGAGTCTAGTCTGTCAATCAGATCATAGCCAATGGGCATGGCCTTATCCTGAGAATTCTGGGAATTCCTGGATTTTCCTCCTTGGAGGCAGGAGACACACTCTCTCTCTGCTCACTCTCTGAAAGACTCTTTACTGACAAGACACATGAAGCTATGCTGACCGCAGCGAGAGCCCTTGACCTGCAGAAGCCATGAGACTCCTGCCAGCACTGAGATGCTTACAACACCACTGGATCCACAAGGCTTCCTACCCAATGGCCTGTGATCTTCCTGTATTTGGTGTCCTCTAGTTCTTTAGCATCCCCCACCACCACCACAATCATGATCACAGTTCAACCTTACAAATCAGGCTAAGCTAGAGAATGTACACTGGTACATAGGGATAAGAGCTCTAAACATAGGGAATCCAGGACAGATAAGCCCCTCAGCCAATAATGAGAGTAGCGATACCAGAAGGGGAAGGGGAAGGTGGGGGGAGAAAGGGGGAACTGATCACAATGATCTATATATAACCCCCTCCCAGGGGGATGGACAACAGAAAAGTGGGTGAAGGGAGACAGGGATCGGTTTAAGACATGGAAAAATGATAAATTATCAAGGGTTCATGAGGGAGGGGAGGGGAGGGGGAAATATGCTGATACCAATGACTCAAGTAAAAAGAAAATGTTTTGAAAATGATGATGGCAACATATATACAAATGTGCTTGACACAATGGATGTATGTATGGATTGTGATAAGAGCTGTAAGAGCCCCCAGTGAAATGATTAAAAAAACAAAAGATATAGCATCTGGGGTCCTAAAGGCTTGAAGTTAAACAAGTGGCCATCTTGCAGGAAAACAACAACACCCACATGGAAGAAGCACATCAGCCTGTGTGATCATGAAATATTAATGGGATCAGGTATCAGAAGATTTTTAAAAAGTATATCAATGTGAAGGAGAGGGGTCAGAGTGGAGACCCAAAACCCATCCGTAGACAACTGGACATCCCCAAACAGAAGGGTCACAAGGAAGGGACAATTCAGCCAGAGTGCAGTATAACACTGATGAAACACACAACATTTCTCTGATTCTTTAATGCTTCCTCCCCCCTACTATCATGACCCCAGTTTTATCTCACAAATGTTGCTAGATTGGAATATGTACATTGGTACAGATAAGAGCTTTCAACACACAGAAGCCAGGACAGATAAACCCCTCAGAAACAGTAATTGGAATAGAGATATCCTGAGGGTAGGGGAGGTGGGGAAAAGGGGTGAAAGGGGGAACCAATAGCAATGATGGATGTATAACCCAACCCCAAGGGGGATGAACAACAGCAACATGGGTGAAGGGACACAGCGGACAGTGTAAGGTATGAGAAAATAATAATATATAATTCCCGAGGATTCCCGAGGCGGGGAGAAGGGGAGGGAGGGTAAAAAGAGAAGCTGATACTAAGGCTGAAATAGAAAGATAATGTTTTGAAAATGATAATGGCAACCCAGGTACAAGTTTGCTTGATATAATTGATTTATAGATTGGTATAATATCGGTAAGAGCCCCTAATAAAATTATTTAAAAAACAAAAACAAAAGGAAGCAGAAAATAATACAAACGTGAACAAATTTTATATGGTCAAAATTGAGATGAATGATAAGGTATTAATTTTTTTGGAGGTACATTTTTCATAGTAGTTATTACTATTATTCTTTTTTAAAAATTTTATTGATTGGGATTAATACATGTTAAATCATTCCATAGTTCAATCACTCACAGCAGAATTGCACATTTGTTACCACAATCAGTTTTCAAACATTCTTTTTCAATACGGACCCCTTGATCTTAAATTTTAATGCAACCACATCTGCATTAATCCATTTTCTAATGCACCCTATTTGACAGCAAGGCTATTCACATCCCAGGTCAATGATCAGAGGCCCTGACAGATTCTTATAGACACAGAACATGACATCTGTTCTGAGCCAGCACAGGTGTGGAATGGACTTTGTCACGGCATGTGAGAAAGACATAGGAAGGCATGTGGTGACGTGGGACTTGGGAGGGTCAATGGCATCTATGCAAGTTCATTGGATTGGAATCAACAATATCCAAGAGTGACTATAAACAGGAAAAGCACAGAGACTCCACCACAGAGAAACTGGGAGCAGCACGCAGTGTTGCAGACGAAGGAGTGGTTAGAATCTTAGCCTCGCTCAAGTGTCCTTGTCGCCTTCTCTGGGGAAGCCATGTGGCTCTACGTGGTGGGTTTCTTGGGCCTATACTACCTTCTGCGTGGGTATTGGGAGAGGCAAGTGGTGAGCCACCTTCAAGAGAAGTACGTCTTCATCACGGGCTGTGGCTCCGGCTTTGGGAACCTGTTGGCCAGGCAGCTGGATGTTCGAGGCTTCAAGGTGCTGGCTGCATGTAGGTCGGAACAAAGCGCCACGCAGCTGAGGAGCCAGACATCCGAGAGGCTGGAAACAGTGATCATGGATGTCACTCAGACGAACAGCATTGTTGCAGCCACCCAGTGGGTGAAGGAGCGCGTGGGGGACAAAGGTACTACCCACATTCTGTTTGTGCCTATTTTATTCTCGTGTCTGTGAAGGGTACATTTTTCTCCTGCTACCCAGGAAGGTCCCACAGATATTTTGATTTTCACAGGTTTGAACTTTGGAGTTTCCTGAACAGAAGCTCCAGAGCACTTCCTACTCCCACCCCCAAGGGATCCTGGACCGATTAGGGGAGGGGTGGGGTGCTGCAAGAGCAGATACCTCCACTCAATCTTGGATTGTGGGCTAATACAATACAAAAGCTATCATACAAAAGTTTTCATTGCCAGGCAGGTGCTGAGTAATTTATTTTTTTCCCTGAAAAGGCACGGTAGGTCAGATAATTTGGGGGACCTATGCTCCAGAGTTTTCATGCAGGACTTTTGAAACCATGGTTGTTAACCATTCACATGCGGTAGTGCAGCCTTTGTCCAGGACAGGCTGGAGGAGAAGTCAAGCCTACAGCTCAATCTTGAGGGAGGCCTAGGGCGACAGGGCTTGGGCTCACCTGAATCCTGCTCGAGTCTCACCCAGGGTCCACGTTCGTATTTGTGCTGCCCAGCCCTCCCTCTCTAGGACCTTAAGATCTGCCCACTCGATTTCAGGTGATTTAGGTATGGAGAAGAGATGGTAGGTAACATAACAATTCGATGATTAGATTCTTTTTTCTGGTTATAGATTTGCACTTTGCAGAAACGAAAACAAGCAAGGAGAGAAGAGCGTTCTCTCCGTTCAAACCACTAGAGCTAATAACTCTGTTAGGCATATCCTGGTATCAGCATTTTCATCACCAAATCCCCTCCGACAGTGGTAGTATTCAAGGTCTTTTATATTCTGGCATGTTGGCCCATGATACTTTACTTAAGCAGACTTACATAGGAAAAGGTTTCAAAAAGTTCCTGGAAAAATGGAATGGAAAAAATAGTGACTTGTTGGTACTGGCACACACAGCATCTCTGTAAGAAAAACTCTCTGGCTATTAACTAGTTTGCTTCCTCAGCAATATTCTTTAGGGAAGCAGATGAGGCTGTATGAAAGACTATGCAGCTCTGAAAGGAGCAGGGGTCTGGGAGACCTTGTTCTCTTCTCAATCATTTCAAGCGAAAACGCTACCCACCCCGAACTCCCCTAAAACCCGGCCTCTGCTGACATGCGTTCTGTGGGATAGCACTTCCATTTCAAATCATGGGTCTTGTGTCCTTTTTGCCCTTCATCTAACATGTGGGGAGTGGAGAACAGGAAGAGAGTGTATATGGATGAAACCTTTAATCTCATATATTAAGGAGCCTGGCAGGCTGGGTTTCTGGGATGGAGGGAGGCCTTCACCCTTGTGAGTTGGAGGTAAGTCCCAATCACATTCTCATAATTAATATTGTTCCCCGCTATACGCTCCCATAATAGTGTTCCCTTAACGTTATCTCTTAACAGCACACGACTGATTGCTGTGTAGCCGGTAGCTGTAACTATAGAGGCAGACATTATCCTTTTGTTCTCCCTTCCAGCCGTGACACCCTACCCCCCTAGCAGGTACACCTTCTTCTTGTTCTCTGCTCCCCACACTAACAGGGAACCTTCCCGAAGCTGTGTGTACTAGATATCAGGAGGGATGAGAAGAGTGTATGAGGGGAGGTTGACTCTTTGGGAGCATAAACTCCAGTCTGTTCATTGTGGGAAGATGTGGGCAGCCTCCCCTGCTCCCCAGTTATGCCCTGGGTATGCACACCAAGGTGAGGGTTTAGATTCCTTAGGTCAAAGAGTGAACAAAACTCCAGAAGTAGATATTGCCTGAGAATTGGAGCAAGTGATTTGGAGGTCTGACTCTGAAGTTAAAACACAGACCAGTTCTGTAAGTGCCCAAGGTGTGGACTGTAATAAATTTATTTTCTCTTCTTTTTCTCCCCCACCCTTTCCTTTTTTATCTCTTCTTTCTTATTCCTTTATATCTCCTAACCCCATTCTTACTGTCCTCTCTCTCCTCTCCCAAGAGATATTTGTTGAGCATTGACTGCATTTTCTCAAACATTTGCAATGCATTAAAAGCAATGTAGCACTGATGAAACACACAACTTTCCTCTAGTTCTTTGGTGCTTCTTCATCCCACGCATGGCTTCAGTTCTACTTTACAAATTGGATTAGAACAGAACATGCACACTGTTAGAGATAAGAGCCTGCAGCGCAGGGAATCCAGGATAGATAAACCCCTCAGGGCCAACAGTGAGAGTAGAGACACCAGGAGGATTAGAGGAGGGTGGGGGGGAGAAAGGGGTAATTGATCACAAAGATCAATCTAGAACCCCCTCCCAGGGGGACGAATAAAGGAAAAGTGGGTGAGGGGTGACGGAGGACGATGTAAGATATGGAAATAATCATCTATAACTTATCAAGGGTTCGTGAGGAAGGGCTGGCAGGGGAGGGGGGCAAGAAATGGGGAGCTGATATCAGGGGATCAAGTGGGAAGAGAATGCGTTGAAAATTATGATGGTGGCATATGTGCAAATGTGCTCGACACACAGGATTAATCTATGGATTGTGATGAGATGTAAAAGCCCCAATAAAAGTATTAAAAAAAACCAACCAAACCGTGTTAGTGGCTGGCGGGTGCCAAACACTGAGGTACAAAGATGCCCTCCCATAGCTCCTTTCCATAGATAGGAAAACTGTAACAGCTTGCAGACAAGCCCTTATTTCAACTCCACACCTTTTACTTAGTTCCGGATTGTTGAGTCCATTAATCAACTCAATTTGAATGTGAGTGTGGGCTATAACTGTGTCTGATTTGAAGCCCATCTCAGGATCTCTCTCTACTTCCCATTTCCTCAGGTCTCTGGGGTCTGGTGAATAACGCTGGCACAGCTGTGCCCACAGCACCCAATGAGTGGCTGACCAAACAGGACTTTGTGACGATTCTGGATGTGAACCTGCTGGGGATGATCGAAGTGACGCTGAACTTGCTGTCTCTAGTGAGGAAGGCGAGGGGCCGTGTGGTCAACTTCTCCAGTATTGCTGGCCGGGTGTCCCTATGTGGTGGAGGCTACTCCATCTCCAAATACGGTGTGGAGGCCTTCTCAGACTCCCTCAGGTATGGGGCTACCTGAGGTCCCTTCTCCGTTTCCCTGATGTGCTTTCTCTTCTCGAGAGTCTGTTTAACGAAAGCTGGAGAGGGTCTACCAGACGCCCCCATACACTGCACTGTAGTCTCCCCTTCTTTCTGCACTTAGGTGAGTGAGCACTCTCTGGGGACCAATGTTCAGTGTTCTGTGTGGAAGAAGGGGCCCTGAATAATTTGGCTCCTGAGCACATTTTCATACATCCTGTGATACAAAGTAGATATGGAGTAGATATTTCCTGAGGATTTCTGGAAGTGCACTGTGTGTCTTAGGACAGCAATATTTAGACAATGACCTTAAAAGACTCACAGCTGAGGTCAAGATAAGTAATACTGAACTATTGGTGTCTTCTCTTTTAATTCTTAAGGCTAAATTAGCACTGGAAGACCCTGGATTGAAAGGAGGGCTCTAAATTGGAATGGAGCCTTCAAAGAGGCATTAGCCTGGCAGCCAGGTGAAGAAAGGCTTCTAAGTAGGGCTTCCTGGCTGGGGGCCTTACACCAGCGGAGGCCCAGGCAGTGGATGAGCATCTTATTTGTGCTGAGGGGCCTCCCTGGAGAAATGACAAGGCTGGCTTGGTTGCGAGATCTGGGGATGTGGGCACAGGAGAGCGTGTGGGTCCTGGAGAGGACTAGCACTTCATGCTGTTGGCCGTGGAAACCCATAGAAGTAGGTAATCAGGAGAACTACTTTCCTTGGTCAAACCAGCTTCAGAAGATCCCTCAAGCTGCTTTATATGGAGAGGTAAGTCTGAAAGCAGAGAGATATCCTTTAGAAGACAGGTAGGTTCCGGAGCTCAGCTGAGAGATGACCAGGGTTTTAGTAGGGCAGGAGAGGACAGGGAGTAGACAGATGAGTTCCTAGGAGGTCAAGTGGCCAAGGCTTAGTGTTAATGGCTTTTGGGAAGATATGATGAGATAATATGTCAGTGGTACTTCACTGTAGGTTAATAAGATTTAGCGTTAATGAGCTAATTATGTAGAAGTATTGGGAAAAAATACGGCTACACTTCCTGAGTTGCTGAGCTATCCAGCCTGTCTCATCTCAGTCCCGGATAGTAGTTTGCTTGCTTGGGTTTTCTGAAATCTTTTGCCATGTGTCTGTCTGCCTTTCAGGAGAGAACTCTACTCCTTTGGGGTGAAGGTGACTGTAATTGAGCCAGGGTTTTTCAAGACTGGCATGACCTGCAGTAAAAAGGTTTCAAAAAGCATCCTGGAGGTGTGGGACCAGGCCTGCCCTGAGGTCAAGGAGGCCTATGGCGAGGAGTTCCTGGCTTCACGTGAGTGGACTGTGCACAGAGCAGACAGAAGCAAATTCTGGTCCGGGAAACCTTGACCTGCCACCTGTGTCTGGGTCTGTCCTCCAGGCGTTGGCCCTGCCAGAGTGGAGATAGTCAGCCTTGCTCTTTTTTTTAATCATTTTATTAGGGGCTCATACAACTCTTATCACAATGCATCCATCCATCCATTGTGTCAAGCACATTTGT